CCCCTCCAGCCCCTGCTCCCCCAGCCTCTGCCCCCCTCAACCTCCCTCCACCCCTCAGCCCCTGCTATCCCAGACCCAGATACAGCCCCACCTCCTGCCCAGCCCCCTACTGTCCCACCCCACATGCGCAGCCGTGTGCAAGAAGGCCTCCGCAGCTAAAGTGCCAGGGGCTCTTCATCCAGGCAGCCCCCTTAGCCCTGAGCCTCCCTCCCCCCTTCCATGTTGAAATTCCCCCTTCCCACCTGCGAGAGTCACTGAGGAAAGCACTTTATTTTTTTTACAAAGAGTTTATTTTGTCTGAACAAAAGACTATTTTATTTTATTTTTTCAAAAAAACAACAGTGAAATAAACTGTACACATTTTTTAACCAGCACCTGTCTGTGTTGTTAGTGTGTGATGAATGAGTCCAATGTGTGAATATGGGACCGGGAGGGGTTTTGGGGAGGAAGGCATTGGGGGAATGGGGAAATCCCACATTTGGAAGGACCTGGGGAAAATCATTGGCCTCCATGGGAGAATTGCTCCCTCAGGGCTTCTCGAATGCGCAAGCCCGGCTGGTGGGCTTGCCAGATGGCAGCTATCCGGGGCTGCTCAAAGTGCCTCCCCTCCATGTCAGCCTGTGTTGAAATTCCCCCTTCCCACCTGCGAGAGTCACTGAGGAAAGCACTTTATTTTTTTTACAAAGAGTTTATTTTGTCTGAACAAAAGACTATTTTATTTTATTTTTTCAAAAAAACAACAGTGAAATAAACTGTACACATTTTTTAACCAGCACCTGTCTGTGTTGTTAGTGTGTGATGAATGAGTCCAATGTGTGAATATGGGACCGGGAGGGGTTTTGGGGAGGAAGGCATTGGGGGAATGGGGAAATCCCACATTTGGAAGGACCTGGGGAAAATCATTGGCCTCCATGGGAGAATTGCTCCCTCAGGGCTTCTCGAATGCGCAAGCCCGGCTGGTGGGCTTGCCAGATGGCAGCTATCCGGGGCTGCTCAAAGTGCCTCCCCTCCATGTCAGCCTGTGTCCTTCAGCCAGCCAAAGGCACACTACACCTGGAAGCGAGCCCGATTCAGCTGGGAGTGAAAGAGTTCCCTGCTCACATCCAGGTGGCCAGTGTAGGGCTTCATGAGCCAGGCATAAGGGAGTATGCTGCGTTGGCCACGGTGCACGTAGGCATCTGCATATCCCGGACTACATAGTTCCACTCTGGGAAAAATGCCCCAGCCTGCAGCCTGCTGTACAGGTAGGAGTTCCGGAATATGCGGGCATCGTGTGCCCGGCTTGACCACCCGACACAAATGTCTGTGAATTGTCCCTGGTGGTCAACCAGGGCCTGCAGTACCATGGAAAAGTAGCCCTTTCTATTAATATACTGTGCTGCTCTATGAGGTGGTGCACAGATCGGGATGTGAGTCCCATCGAGTGCTCCACCACAGTTTGGAAAATGCAGCCCCGCAAATCCAGCCAAGATGGTATGCAGGTCTCTGAGGCGGACAGTCCTGTGAAGCAGCTCCAAATTGATGGCCGTCACCCCCTTCAGAAAGGGACAAATACAAACACAAATAAGAGGACATTAGAGGAGTTGCATGAGCTGATGAGAGGTGCTCCCCCACCTCTCCCCTCCCAGACCCCAAGAGCCTCCCCTCAGGCAACTACCCTGCCCCCCTGCTCACCGCAAGGTGAGGCCAGGCCGGCTTCTACCACTCCCACCTCATCCCCCATTCCCTGTGCCCAGTTCAGACTGTCCCCCTTATCTGCCTGCCCCCCTGGACTGTCCTCCGAGAGTGACTTACATCCATCAAGACAGCCCCGACAGTAGACCTCCCCATGCCAAACTGATGCACCACGGAGCGGTAGCTGTTGGGGGTGGCCAGCTTCCAGACAGCAATAGCAATGCACTTCTCCAGAGGCATGGCTGGCCACACGCGGGTGTTGTAGGGCAGGTGTGAGCCAGGTCCCCTGGTGTTGTAGGGCAGGTGCGAGCCAGGTCCCCTGAAGTTGCAGGGCTGGGGTGAGCCAGGCACAGAGCTCCTGGAAGGTGGTCTTCTGCATCCGGAAGTTTCGGAGCCACTGGTCATTGTCCCACTGCTGCATAACGAGCCGGTCCCACCAGTCAGAACTGGTGTACAGCCTCCAAACTCACCTTTCCATGAATACGTTTGTGGGCAAGGGCAATTCAGCTCTGCCGCAAACGTCATGATGCTCTCATGAGCATGCAGCAGAACTTCCAGCAGCATGGTGTGGGGC